CCAAAGCACTATATAAGTACAGGCCTTTTACCATTATTACAATATTATTGGAAGCACTATGTACACGTTACCTGGACTGAAATAAGTCTAACAGTTCCAGCTGCATGCATTTAGAGATGTCATTCAAATCGTATTTGAATCTACATAAAATGCTCTAGAAGGTAAAGAGGCTCTAATGAGAAAATCTGTATTTTATTTTCCATTTTCTGTAAAAATGACTTAGCTGAAGTCCATGTCTGCTAAGATCCCAAAGCAGAAACACATTACAGGTTATTTAACACAAGTTATAGCATTATGATAATAGTAATCAAAATACTGCATTCTTTCCTGGTACCATGCAGACCTGTTCCTCAGCATTCAGCCTTAAGAACATATCAGCTCTGATGCATAAAGCTTATCATTACTGTAATGATAGAAAAGAGAAAGAGGAACTCGAACCCTGTAAACGGTGATGGGTTTGAGAGTTTTGAACGTGAGGTTTCTGGCCGGTTTGGAGCTGTACTTCCATTTGGATTCCACGAACTTGAGCAGAGCTTCTCGGGCCACGTCCTCCGACACCGACGGGACTCTACAGGAGAACAGAAGAATGGCTCGATGTTCCTCATGTAATTCAGAGCTCTTATCAGATACAAACTGGTTTGGTTTTACCTGATGTTGGGGACTGAAGTGCTCCTGTTGAGTTCAGGTTGGGGGTTATAGGCAGGGGGCGGGGGGTACAACGGCTCTTCATCCTCCGGACCTAAACATCAACACAGGGAGGGGTGTGCTGTACTGTACCGTCATATTAGAAGGCCACTGTTACTGTAACACGATTGTTCCAATACTGTAAGAACCTTCTACTGTATTTCATATTAAGCAGTAAAACGTTCATAATGTTCAAACAACAATTTAGTATGGGAAAAAAGTCAGAATTCTGAGGGAATTAGGCAACTTTCTACGTGCCCAAGGGGTCGCCTCATTAATGGAGCAGCAGAAGGTCATTAAAACAACAGAGCGAGACTCTAAAACAGACATGGCTATGGCTTGATGCTAACATGTTTGTTAGCTGTCAGAATTCTGAGAAAAAAGTCAAAATTCTGAGAAAAAAGTCAGAATTCTGAGAAAAAAAAAGTCAGAATTCTGGGGAAGAAAAGTCAGAATTCTGAGATTAAAGTCAAAATTCTGAGAAAGAAAAGTCAGAATTCTGGGGAAGAAAAGTCAGAATTCTGGGGAAGAAAAGTCAGAATTCTAAGATTAAAGTCAGAATTCTGAGAAAAAAGTCAGAATTCTGGGAAAAAATGTCAGAATTCTGAGATCAGTTAACTTTTTTTTTTTCAGTGGCCCTAATCCTCTTCCGTACTATACAACCTGTCACGCAAGGAACTGTCCTTGCAGCATCTAGGAATGACAGGAGGTCACTATAAAAAATAAAAAAATCCATAGGAAGAATCTATCTTCCTCTTTCTACCTCTTTCCTTACTGATTGCACTTCTCATTTCCACTACTGGCACGATTCCACTTTGGCTTAAATGTCTTTAAGAGATTCACCCAAATCAGCATCAGTCTCAGATTCACCTCCTTTATTATTGCCCTGGTATCCATGTATGTCCTCCAGCCAGCCAGGAGGGGGCGCTGATGGTCCCTCTTCAGGTATGTTGGGATCAAATTTTTCTGAAACACATAAGTATGATGATGGGTCATAGATAGACTTTTCTATGTTTCTGTCCTTCTCTTATAATGTTAACCTAATCAGTCCAAACTGATTCAACACAGAATTATAATCCCCAACTTAAGGTGGAACGATTTTGACAAGAATCAAAATTTTGATTTTTTTTTTTTTAACAACAAAAATTGAGACTGACATTTTTTTATTCATATCACAAGCAAAGATGTTTGTCTCCATGACTTTATTGTTTTTGTGCTGGTAATGCTTCCTTATCCAAAGTACATTGTTGTGTAACTTAATTTCTGTGAGGAAAAGCGCTTCTATCTCACATGCACGGACATGCAAGCCAGCTTCAATACTCCAAAGCCACTTAATGTGTTTTACCGTCCCTCAAAAGGCTAAATGAGAAAATCTGTGTCTAACTTGACCAAAAATCCACTTGAGTCTAACAGTAACGGTCTAATTAAGAAGAAGACGACTGGTTCCCATGGCTCAGCTCTGGTGGGACCTTTAGCAGTTTGGTATCAATCAAAGTCAGACCTGAAATGACAGCATTGGTATGATCCAGTTTCTGTTATAAGGTTATAAAAAAGTTAACTTCAAAAACAGGAAACCTTTGGAGCTATTGTCTCCTCCTGCTGGTCAGCAGCTAAAATAAGATGGGCCATTTCCTCACCAATGTTTTTTTGGGAAACAAGAAGAGTAGTAGAAATGAGAAAAAATCTGCTATTAAGGTAAAGCTCATTTAAGCAGTTAAAAAGCTAGGAGCTGCATAAAATGCACCCTTGAAAAGCAGCCGGCTGCATCATTTGGGGCAGAGCCTTGAGGGTGATGGTGCTTCAACAAGCAATCTGATAACAGAAACCTAGGAGCTACGCTATGAGGTTCGCATCAAGCAGTGACAAAGGCAGGTTTAAAGTCTAAACCACAGATTTTGGTGAAGATTCTCAGTCATCCAGGTCATAGTCATTCCAAAAAAAAAAGCTAAAAAATCAATCCACTGGACTTTTCTCCCAATTTGAAGACTTTTTGCTTCCCAACCAGGAAGATTTTTCAATTCAAAATTTCAGAAATAGTGTTGAGTTTGAGGCTCTATAGAGTGGACCAAAATAAAGCCTTGTTTTGGCTTAGAAAACATGCAAATTGAACCCGATGAGCGGCTCTGCCCCTTTGGTCCATCCCATTACAGGGGAACAGAGCACCTCGCCTATTCAGCCAGGCCAACAATTCCCTTTAACAACCCCCTTTCAGAGACATAGACAGGTTTTATTTATTACAGACTAACAAAGACAAGAAACGACCCCCATTCCAATGTGAATACCAGATTTAAAGTCCGCACACTGCAGAGATATTGGAATCTGAGCTTAAAGGTATAGAAGACAATCTTTTATTTCCGAGTGGATCCTCTAAATAAGTGGTCCTCCTAATTATCAATCATTCTGGTGATATGTTTGCGTAAGGCGGTCCAACGTGCTCGTCCGGTTAGCTATCTTTTTCTGCACATGCGCACTTTCAGGCGTATATATGTGGTGAGCTATGGTTTTAGACCGTCATTGAAGCTCACCTTTCTCACCGTGGTTCTTTGAAACCGAAGTGTATTACGAAGTGTATTAGAAGAAAAGAAAGGCCTCAGAAGAGGCAGATATATCCCAGAATGCTTTGCACAGTATGGGATTTCCTGTCACAGCGGCCGGCTGTTGCCATAGGATTGCTATCTCACAACTACTAACAAAGATGGCGGAGGCACCACGCAGTGAAGGAGGAGATATGTGACCAACAGGGAGCAAAAAGCAGTGATCATCTGTCTGAACGGTCAGTTAACTGAGTTCACTATAAAGTAAATTATATAGTCCCGCTCTATATAGTGATGGAGGGATTTAGGGGTGAGGGTGAACGTTTGGGCACAGGAAGCTTGTATGAGCTATGAGAACAGCAGCATTTCAACAGATGAGAAGAAATGCATGAGGAAAAATGGACTCCTGCACGCTCTCGCACGCGTTTAATAGGCGTTTCCTCTCGGGAGCGGGTACAGGGTGGTGCATTGTGTATTTTTTTAAAGTGGAGAGTGCGGGTCTTTTAAAAAATTTGCGAAAATCCTCGGCAATACCTTTAAATGTCAGCCAAACTCATTTACACAGGGAAAGAAAAAAACTTTTACATAAATCAAACATTATTCTCCACATATCTGAATACGTAACCATTAAAACACAAATTTTCATTAATTTCAGACAGAGATATTCACATGTTTATATTATATTAAACTGCGCTTCCAATTTTTACCTCTGAGCACGGAGCAGCCGGCTTGCTCGGACTCGCGATGATTAATGGGATACCCAATGCTATGTGGGAAAGGCTGGACCCGCCCTTCAATACGAGCAAAAGGAAGGCTGCATTTGTCAACCGCATAATGAGGAGCCTTCCAATCCGAACAGGCATTGGCGCCGAACTATGATGTAATCGACCGACAAATCTGACCTTTGAAGGTTGCAGCTACTGAATTCATACTCAGCAACAGAGTAATGGGAGCAACTAGTTATCATGTAAACGGATGACTGGACATATGGACAGATGAAAGGATTGATATGTTTTCCTGTACTTCCATGTCCTCGCCATAGATTTGATGCTAAGTATCTAAAAACATTCATTTTTTTCTCTGTAATATTGCAAGTTAACTATTGGAAAGGTAATCTGATCTCTCTGCAGTTCTCCTAAGCAATGCTGAAGCACCAGGTGCTTATTTGCATCCATCCATTTTCTATCATGCTTATCCCTAGAGGGGATGGCTATAGCATTGACCATTTGGGCATGTGAAACAAAATATCTTAGCGATTTTATATTTTGCTCCCAACATACAGTCGCTACCTTAAATCATTCTACCAAAGCTGACCTTTTTTTTTCTCCTTTTTTTTCTCCTTTAAATTACATTATACAAAAATAAAAAAAAATGAAATGTGCTACTTTGAAATACTAGATATTATTTCAATCATCCAATCTGTGAGGTGACTTCAATTTAAAAGGCAAAAATGATCAAGCAGTGAAACATCCATTGTTGCTTTTGAATCATTTTTCACAACAAACAATGAAGATACAACAGTGATATTACAGTTTAAATTAAGAGTATATATGTAACCAAAAAGATCTGCATCATATCCTGTGTCAGAACTGCTGTATATCTGAAGCTGTATATCTGAGATGCATGCTTTATATCTCCAGGAAGAACATAGATCCAAACCATTAAAGATAAATAAGAAGAATGTTTCTTAAAGTAGCTGCATGTTATCGTCGTTAACTCAAGTTTAAATAACTTAATCTGTTTTCAATCAGATTTTACACAACAGGATAATTATGTTGCCCCAAAGCAAACACTAGCACCGCCTCCTCTGACTGTTTTTCAGCTTGTTGGGTTTCTTCACCCATTGGCAGATAAAAATACAAGCGGAGTCAGAAGCCGTAAGGCTCCCTGTAAACAATACCTCTGGCTGAGGGATAAAAATATAAGCGCAAAGGTGTTTCCCCACATAGATCCTAGCCTAGATGGATGGAGAGTAAGAACGGCGGGAGGGAGGGAGGGAGAGTTAGAGTCATTATTAAAACAACAATCAGGGAGGGAGCGTGAGAACAAACACGACTACAGAAGCTATAACGACTTTAAACACTAAAAGCATGTGGAACCCTGAGAACTTAACATAGATCCTGTACGGTTTAAACACCAACTACAGTCAGAAAGACATTAGATCTGTTTTTATGGTTGTTTATCTAATGTGTCACTGGGGTGTCCTGTAGTTTACTGGTGACCTGCTGGTTGATGGATGGATGGATGGATGGATGGATGGATGGATGGATGGATGGATGGATGGATG